GTGATCTTTAATGCAGCTGACACTCAGCCAACTGCGCCACAATCCTGGTGCTATGAGAAGGTCCTCCATTGTGCATGTAGCAGGGCTCAGGTTGCATTGCAGCAGGTGGTTTGTAGTTTGCTCTTCTCCACACTCGCATGTTGTGGACTCCACTTTGTGGCCCCATTTCCCCATCTCGTGGTGCCAGAGCGCAGTCTGTTCAGCGCCTTCCAAGTCACCCAGTTTTCTGTGTGTCCAGGAGTGACTCTCTCATTTGGTATCAGCCACTGATTGAGGTTCTGGGTTTGAGCCTGCCACTTTTGGACTCTCGCTTGCTGAGGTGTTCCAGTAAGTGTCCTTGTAGATCTTAGAAAACTATTTCTTGATTTAAGTTGTTGACGTGCTGGCTGATACCCAAACAGGGGATGAGCAGGAGATGTCTCCGCCTTGGTCCTTTCACTATTGGCTGCTACTTCCCGGCGGATGTCAGGTGGTGCAATACCGGCTAAGCAGTGTAATTTCTCTAGTGGTGTTGGGTGCAGACACCCCGTGATAATGCGGCAAGTCTCATTAAGAGCCACATCTACTGTTTTACCGGGATTGTGGCACAGCTGGCTGAGTGTCAGCTGCATTAAGATCACTCTGACCAAAAGGTCATGAGTTCGAAGCCAGCCCGGGTGGAAGTGAGTTTCCAACCAATTGTGTGTAGCCTGTTGTCGACCTTTGCAACCCGAAAGGCAGTTGCATCTGTCAAGTAGGAAAATTAGGTACCAGCTTAAAGTGTGGGGAGGCTAAAAACTGATTTATGAGGCCATAAAGAAGACTCCAGCAGAGCATTCCAGCGGGGAAGCATGCGGGGAATGCGGAAGCGCTTCATCAGCGTCGCAGATGGACGATAAAAGCGACAGCTCCCCTGGCGGCCAGAAAAAGGAGTTGTTTGGAGTTGTTTGTATGTCAAAAATTGGCATTGAATGTTTGCCATATATGTGTACACTGTAATCCGCCCTGAGTCCTCTGCGGGGTGAGAAGGGCAGGATATAAAAGCTGTAAATAAAATAATAATAATAAAATTTTAGCGTGGTGAGATGTGTTCCACACTGGGCATGCATACTCAACAGCAGAGTAGCATAGCTACTATTGACCCTCCTGAACAAATACCAAATGCCACCTCCACCGATCCCTCTTCAGGACATAAAAAAGCATGGCGGAAGGTCCCTCTCTTATGTATTTACTCTCCTGCCAGGAGAGGTTGGCATCTGCTCATTGACAACAAGTGGAGGGCAGGTGCCATGCAGACAGGAAGCAGCGCCTAGGATTTTGTTTTTGAATTGCTTTTTAAAGGTTTACCACATAAAGCAACATTTTCATATTCTCTTCCAAGTCCCATTACACCAGTGTTTCTCAACCTTCCTAATGCCGTGACCCCTTCATACAGTTCCTCAGCCACAGGGAGGAGGGAGCAAGCTTGTTTTCTGCTTCCTTGGAGACTAGGAATGTGTCCAGAGGAGGGTAACTAAAATGATCAAGGGTCTGGAGAACAAGCCCTATGAGGAGCGGCTTAAGGAGCTGGGCATGTTTAGCCTGAAGAAGAGAAGGCTGAGAGGAGATATGATAGCCATGTATAAATATGTGAGAGGAAGTCACAGGGAGGAGGGAGCAAGCTTGTTTTCTGCTTCCTTGGAGACTAGGACGCGGAACAATGGCTTCAAACTACAAGAGAGGAGATTCCATCTGAACATGAGGAAGAACTTCCTGACTGTGAGAGCCGTGAGAGCCGTTCAGCAGTGGAACTCTCTGCCCTGGAGTGTGGTGGAGGCTCCTTCTTTGGAAGCTTTTAAACAGAGGCTGGATTTGAATGCAATGTTCCTGCTTCTTGGCAGAATGGGGTTGGACTGGATGGCCCATGAGGTCTCTTCCAACTCTTTGATTCTATGATTCTATGTTGTGACCCCCAACTATAACATTATTTTCGTTGCTACTTCATAACTGTCATTTTGCTAATGTTATGAATTGTAACATAAATATCTTATATGCAGGTTGTATTTTCATTAACTGGACCAAATTTGGCACAATTTGGCACAAATATCTGATACGCCTAAATTTGAATACTGATGGGGTTCGGAGGGTGGGGGATTGATGTTGTCATTTGGGAATTGTAGTTGCTGGGATTTATAGTTCACCTACCATCAAAGAGCATTCTGAACTCCACCAACGATGGAATTGCACCAATCTTGGCACACAGAACTCCCATGATCAACAGAAAATACTGAAAGGATTTAGTGGGCGTTGACCTTGAGTTTTGGAGTTATAGTTCACCTACATCCAGACAGCACTGTGGACTCAAACAATAATGGATCTGGACGAAACTTGGCACAAATACTCAATATGCCCAAATATGAACACTGGTGGAGTTTGGGGGGAATAGACCTTGACGTTGTGAGTTGTACTTGTTGTCACCTACAAAGATCCGTTCTGGGCTGGACACCATGTTAAATGCAGTCTCTGAGGATGTGACACGAGCACCTGCTTGTCCTATTTTGATGGATTCTTTTCAGTTTGTGAAGCCCGAGGATGTGGACAAGATACTTGGAGGAATGAGGCCCACCACGTCCATCCTAGACCCCTGCCCATCCTGGCTTCTGAAGGAGGCCAGAGGGGGATTGGCTGAGTGGGTAACGGTGGTGGTTAATGCCTCCCTTCGGGAAGGCAAGATTCCAGCGAGCTTAAAGCAAGCTATTATAAAACCACTGTTGAAGAAACCATCATTGGACCCCACTAAATTTGAAAACTTTCGGCCTGTTTCCAATCTCCCCTTTTTGGGCAAAGTCATGGAAAGCGTGGTGGCCTCACAACTC